CAAGATCTACTGTAGATTTGACCAACTCTAACCGAGGAGATTCCAGTCCACATCTCTACAGAAGCATGAGGAGCTGCACAATATGACAGAGACATGTTTGTTGGATGAGCAAGCAAGATAAAGATGATGAAGATCCAGCTGGAGTCAGAGTTGCTTCTTCTAAAATAATCTACACAGAAAGAGTCGCAGACTTTTGGCTGAAAACAGTATTTGGTTCTTTGGCGTCTTTGGAACGACAACGAGCAGCACCCCATCCCCCAAACACCTCAACCATATCAGCTAGACTGTGGCTTCTTCGACCTTTCATTACTTTTCTAGCAGGATAAATCAAGTTTTAAATATACACAGCAGGCTGTGTATATGAAACATGTTGGCGTAGTCCATTTACACATGCGCGCTACCAAACAGTAAAACAGGATGGAGAGGCCCGTCAGCAGCTGTTAAACATACAAACCATCTAACCGGTGTACTCTAAAGTCATTTTTGTGATGTCACTTTCAAAGAGAATTACATAAATTATTTGACACATGATCACACAAGATCAAGAGGCTGATGGAGCAAGAGTTGGATAAATTGCATCAAGGAAGATGTGGCTTCTTACAAGGACACTGCAGACGTGGAGCTACAAAGTGTTGCAAGGATCAGTCAGAGGTCCAGAACCCAGAGGCACGAGGCTAGACGCCTGAGACCTCTCAGCTTCTGCTCATCACGAGTCACACAGACATCATCAGGACATTCTTTTCAGGACAGAAATGTTGTCATGCAACATTTTAGACCCACGATCATAAACAAACTGTTCCTAAATGTCTTTAAGACCATCTGATTTAAAAAGATTAAAAAAATTCACATGGGAACCCAAAGATGATAACTTATCAGGCAAGTTGAACTTTTCTTCTCGTGTATTCAAATGTGTCTGGATTAGATTAGATTAGGTTAGATTAGGTAGAACTTCACTGATTCCTTGGGAAGATTCCTTTAGGGGAATTAAAGTGTGTACAGTCACTTTGTGTTGATAGCTTCTGACATTAATTATTTTTTTGTGAGAGAAGTTTTGCTTTTTCTTCTGTTTTTAAAAACAATATAACATCACTTTTTGTCCTCTGTCCGTCCGTGCATGTTGTGCGCATGATAACTGGAAAGATACGTGAGGAACTGACTTCCATGTTGGCGTGTGGCTGCGTCTAGGCATAAGAAAGGTCACTATCAAAAACTGGGTTGTCAAAATCCAAGTTGGCCACCACAGTATATCTGCATATGTAAACTGGTCACCCCAGTCATTTGAGGAAGATATGCCTTTTAGTTTTTATATTGCTTAAAAGTATAGTTTCTCCAGATCATTGGGATGGCTGAAGATAGAGCGAGTGTGGCCAAAGCCACCACTGGCCACCCCCTGGCTCCTCCACTGGACCTGTCCTTGGATAAATCACTGCCTCCGCTCGCCAGGATCCATTAATCTGTTCTGTCTGGGACAAACAAACAAACAAACAACTTCCCTCTGTTCTTCTCCACAGCGTAGCACCAAAAATATCAAGGTTTACTTTCACTCCCTGCTCAGGAAGAAAAAACTCTCCTCTTGAAAACTGCAACCTTTCACTGTTCAGACCCGTCCAAGTCCCAGCAGAGGTCATCTCAGGGCACTACAGAAACATGCACTGTAAAGCCTGTTAGTAGATCCGTCACTCATCAGTGTCGTAGGAAACAAACAGCTGAAATGGGTGGAGGGTAAATGGTTCATCACTGATGGGGCTCTGACCTTGGAACAAGCAGACACGGTTAAATTAATACAGAAATAAACCCATTCCTAATCTTGTCCATGCTTGTTCTGTCTCCTGTCTTTCTGTCCACGTCTCTGTCTCCAGACCGTAGCTGGTCTCACTACTTCTTTATTTATTTTAGCAAAGTGGTTTTGCTCTTCTCCATTTGCAGAACGGCTGCTACGTGCTGCCTTTCATTTATTGCAACGTGCACGTGATGTTTCCAGTAAAGTTGAAGAGGATTTGAAGACTGGAACTGTGTTGAAGTGTAGACACAGGACAGTGTGAGCTACATTCACACTTCTGTTGCTTATTCACCTCTGAAAACAGATTATCAGAGTCTACAGGTTGTCATTATGGATTAATGCACACATGACGGAGCATTCACAGAAAAAACATGCTTATAATTAATCTGATCAATCTGATCAATCTGGTAAAGCAAAAACCGCCATAATGCAGTTTCAATTATTTAAATGTAAATGTATAGTTTGGAGGCAGCACGGTGGCTCAGCTGGTGGAGCTGCCGCCTCTAAAAGGTCACTGGACCGAATCCTGGTCCGGGTGTCTTTCTGGGTGGAGTCTGCATGTTCTCTCCAGGTACTCCAGTTTCTGATTAGTGACGCTAAATTGTCCCTATAGGTGAGAGAGAGAGAGTATGGTTGTTTGTCTCATTTGTCTCTGTGTGTCCCTGTGATGGACTGGAGACCTGTCCAGGTGTCCCTGTGATGG